CATCTGTTTACAGTTTATTTTATTTACTTTGCTGATGTTTGGGTCGAGTTGATTAAAATTTTTTTTTAGTGTTTGTTGTCTTCTGGAGCTTGGGTTCTGACTGGCTGTCGGTGACGCCTGTTTGAAGTGAGCGCAAAGCGTCTTTGAAGCCTGGCTGGATGAAAGTGGAGCATCCAGATATGACTGGAGGACAGTCTAGAAATGAATTTATGGCTGCCTCTGAAGGCGACCGACAGGCGACAAACATGTTACTAGCTGTTGATTAAATGCTACTTTGAGATGCAGTGATGCACAAACATAGAAGAGAGAGCAAACTCCTAAGCACACATGGAGAAATCAGTTAAACGTGTTTGTTTGATGGCAACAAGATGTGAATGTTGGTGAATAAGTAAAGAAAGTTCCCATTATTTATGAGTCTTGCTGTTTGTAATTGTTACTTTAATTAATGTTATTTATCACTGTTTCCTGTCATTGATGTTGTCATTTTATCTTGAAGACATTAAGTACATCAAAACCTTTTAACATAAAAAAAAAATTTTCTTAAACCACAAGCTGTTGAGATTCCAGCTGGAAATATTTACGGAATGAAGCAAACATCTCTTATCTGCCTTTTGATAATAATACATTTTATTGTGCACTTTTGGTCAAACTTTTTTTGGAACATGAGCTGTTTTCTCCACAAATATATTGTATTACACTTGATATGAGGGGCGTTTGATAAATAATGCCTCTGACCGTCTTCCGGATGTTTGATCGAGCTGAAATTTTGCCTGTGACGTTATTTGAATCTCTATAGATTAAGCAGCAAATTACAGCTCTGAGCTGTTTTTGGTTTCTGACTTACAGGTGTTTGAACTGAGTAAAGTCTGAAATGGAGCCTGTTGAGCATCGAGCAGTGATCCAGTTATTCTGTTGGAAAGGACTCAAACCACGGGAGACTTTTGATTAAATTAAACTTGTGGTGATGATGCCCGTTACATGACCTTGCAAAAAGTTTTACAAGATTATATTATGGGACATTATCACTATAAGTTACTTTCATTTGATCAAAAGTCTCCCATTCAAATGCAAAAACTCAGACTTGACTCAGTTTTAAGACCAGTAAATCAGAAACCACAATTAGCTCAGAGCTGTAATTTGCTATTTAATCTATAGAGATTTAAAATACTTCACATTAAAAATTTCAGCTCGATCAAACATCTGGAAGCGGGCCAGGGGCATTACTTATTGAACGTCCCTTGTGTAATAAACTTTAACAGTCATTTATTGATTATGACCAAACACATTTTGTTAAGTTAAGGCATTCTATAAATGTTATTTAGAATATATTCAGTTATACTTAATTTACAAAGTATTTTCTTTTTGTGTTTTTTGTTAAGTCAGAGATCTAGTTGTATCAAAAATTGTGAGTCTGACATTATAAAGTTGACATATGGTAGCTAACAGCGCGCAAAATTATGTAATAGTACAGATTCTCTAATCTAATATAAAAAAAAACAGGAAAGAAAATTAAGATTTCTTATAGAGTCCTTCTGGTGAGTGACAAAATGCTTTCTTGTGTTGACATTTCTCTCACTGTTAATCTTAGGAAAAAAAATCTTTTGCAATTTAATCCTTCTCCTATTTGAATCGCAAAAAAAAAAACACATTAATACTTGGAAGTTTTTGTGTGCGAATTATTTTGCTCTATGACATAAATCCCTTTTTCAAAAACAATCCCAAAGTATAAAAACTGAAATAAGGCTGAAAACGATATAAATTTTTTACCTCTTTAAAATGTTGCATTTAGGTTAAATTGCACAGTGTTAAAAATGTACTGTCAAAGTATTGGATTAAAATATACTCCACGTAGAGTTCTAATAATTTTTTTTTTTTTTTTATAACTGTTACACAATTTTTTTCCTCAAACATTTTTTTTTTAAAGTTTTGAAAATTATTGATGGAAAAACGCTATTTCATATTAAGACAGAAATCATAGCTTCTAGTCTAAATGTTCCTCAAACATTTCAATAGTTGCTCTATTTGATAAACACAAAGACCTGGAAGTCTCTAAATGTAATTCTATGAGAAAAAAGCGAAATAAAAAAACTGCATTGAGTTTTACTTTTTCAAGGGGTTAACAACAGCGACATCTACCGGCTAAATGTTTGAATACTACTGCTTTATCCCCATAGATAGAAAAGGGCGATTTTTCTATTTTATTTTGAAAAATAAATGAGTTATTAGGTGTTATAAATTGTTTTCTTAGTCGTCTGTACTGTTAAAACTCAAAATAAATCGTTTGCAACACATACTTTGTAGCAGGGGGTTGTTGTCCCATTGTAAGCTGTTTTATAGCCTGTTACAGAGGAAACACTGCAGGGGTTGGCGTTGTTCCATTAACTCAACCACACGGCTCTGTTTCTGTGAAATCACGTACGCTAAATTAAAACTGCAAGCTTTTCTTTTTTTTTTTTCCTTTTTCCAGGCTGCAGCTTTGCGCAACTAGGAAGATGTGCTAAGACAAGGTTCTTGATAAAGAAACATTACATTTTCTTTTTTTTTTCTTTGTAATTGTTATCTTTGTGGCTGTGTTTAAAGAATTTTCCAGAAAAAATAAAAATAACAATTCGCCGAAAGACCTTGCATTTTATGTCTTGACAATTTATTAGCAACCTTTCTTAGATATTTTTATTGTATTTCTTTTACATAAATTGATACTTTTTATAACCGTTATTATAATATTATGGTGGGTTCTATAATAAATAAACATTGGATTTATTTAAAACAGTTAATCCATTGTAAACACAAAATAAATTTTATTCTTAAAGTTTATAAAAAGAATCACTATATTAAACTATAGTATTACTTTAGAAATACTTTCATTATCGTATATTTGTTGAATTATTTCATTATCACACGGAGTTATGTGTTCTGAGACTGTTTAAGATATTAACATGAAGAAGTCGGTGCAACAATCTGATCCCGGGTCAGCTGTTCGTAGACACTGCGGGTGTCACTTATCACACTGCGCATGCGTGGAAGTCAGCAGTGGGGGCGACGAGGATGTGGGGTACTAAGAGCCAAAGATATTCATCTCTTTTTCTATTTCCGTTTGATTTTTATTTTGAATGTTAAATAAAAAGTCAAAGTTTTTATAAACCATAATTTTTTTAAACGTCATTTAGAATCATAGTAATTAAATCGTGAATAGATACATTTTTAAAAAGCAGTATTTATTGCTTTCACCTTCATGGAAATAACAACAAAAAAGTTTGATCCATGTCATACAAAAGCAACATAAGAAGTGAAAAAAAAAAAAATATAACACATATAGCCATACTATTAATAATTAATCTACATTAGCTGTGGGATTTTGACTGAAAATAAAAGTTAACAACACACATCTGTAATAAGTTATGGGAGTTTTATAATAGCTTTAAAGTGATTAAGATTATATAAAATTATAGCTTGCAATGACTACGGTTTAACTGCAGAGTTTTATCTCAGATTTCTGCAATGGACATTTCTATTGATATGAATCTCAATTAAAATAAAAGTGAACAATTATAGGCAAGGCA